ATGTACCTGTAACATGTGTTGCCATATACTTTAGCAAAATCTAATTCAGTTGTGGGCACTGAGCTTTCCAAGATACCATGGTTTTAGCACAAGGCATAGGTGTAGGCAGCTTCATCTTCTGAAGATGACGATAAACTTATTTTTGTTTTTTACCATATTCATAAATTATACCTGTTCATGTGACTTTTCTTTATTACCTGTTTCTTGCAACATAGCATATATTTGGGGATATAACATCCTTACCATTTCCACAGCAGACCCCATTTTCAAATTGTTGGGATATAGTATGCTGGGTCATAGTAGGTGATTAATACACAATAGTTGTAGTTGGAGCTATCACTATGGCATTTGTGGTTAAAAAAAGAGAAGTTACAAATGTGTGCTTATGCTGGGAACAGATAAAGGAAAATTAATAATTTTGTTCCATCTGATTTGACAAAACAGTCATAATCTGTGTTCTAGAGGCAAAGCTCAGACATGAAGCTCTAGATCAGATAGCAGTGCTTAGATCGACCTTGTCATGGTCAAAGTATACACTGAATTTAGCCATCTGGTATGTAATTAAAGTGTTTAGGGGGAAATGTTGATGACTCCCTACAGAATTGGTCCATTTTGTACCTTCTGTAGTGCTGACAGTGATCTAAGTGGATGTGAATGCCACTTTCTATTAATTTCCTTAATTTTCCCCCTTTTAAGGGGCTAGAATAGGAGAGAAGATTCTAATCTGAATATTCAGAATATAGCTTGTGTTCATTCTGCTTCCCTTGGCTAAAGGCCTGACTATAGTGTTTCCTCAATAATGGAAAAAAATAGTTTTTTTGTTGATACAGCACATTATTTAATTAAATGCTATCAGAAAAAAATTTCATTGTCTTATTTTAAATATCATATTTCTTATGTGTGTAGAAATGTAATTCAAGATACTAATTATGTACTTTTCCTTCACCTTTTAATTCTAAGTAAAACCACTCCATGGTGCATTTAAAATTCCTTGAAATGTCTTAACAATTTATCTATGCCAGATCTGCTGCAAGATGTGTTTCTGAACATATAGCCTTTCATATTTTTTACCTCCTACTACCATTTGTCACCAACTTCCTCTTCCAAGTCTAAGAAATCTTCTTTGCCAAGTGTAGAGAAATTGTAACTGATTCCAAAATAAATAATTCTGTAAAAGTTTAAAAGCTCCCTTAAATAATGGGATGGAATATGATACAGCACACATTCACTTGTCTAGTTTAAAACTTAAGATATTCAAAATATAGCTACTTTAACTAAAAATAATTGAGGAGACATTTATGATAGTTTTCTTTCCGGCCCAACATAAACATAGTTTAGGAGAATGTCAGGAACCTTTCCCACTATATCCTGAGAATACTATTTTTCTCATGAAATTGACTTAAAAGGTAATTTCTAAAAATTACTATGTAGCAATGATTTGATGGAAACACATGCTCTTGATTTTTCTCTCTGCTCAAATGACTTGAGATCCCTAATGTATTTTACAGCTAGTCATTTTTGCAGTTACTCATTTCTCTATACCCAACATTTACTTATGAAATCAATGGGATTGAAATGTACAGTGGCTGTGCATTCTAGTGGGGGACACTGACAATATTTCTGAATCTGACTGGAGCAGTGGCTTTCATCCCATCTAGAACCACCTTTGAAATGACACATTGCAGGTGCTATAAAGGACTGTTTTAGACTTAGGTAGTCTGCATAAATATGAGTTCCAGTCCCCCCCAGATTACTGATCCCTACTTAATTTATACACTCCATTAAGTTTTCAAAGGCAGACTTGTTTTCTTTAAAGTGTCCATTAATGCAAGATTTAGACAAATATCTTTTCATTAGGGATTGATTTCAGAATTATACATTCTTAGAAATCGAGACCTTATAGCTTCAAAATGCCCATGACATAGCCAAACCTTCAGTTCTGGTTTTAACAACTTGAAAAGCTGCTTAATAAAAAGAAAAAAAGTTAAGATAGCATTTACTAACTTTAGAATATAACCCATCTAAATAGAGTGGAAAAAACAAAATTTTGTTCAAAACTTAATGCTGTTGAGAAAATCTAATGGTCTTTTAAATTATAGATACTTTGTGTATTCTCAGACCTGGCTCTGTGCATGGTACACAATTGGTACTTAGTAAAAGACACCAATTTTGATGTCTATTTTAGGAGTGCCTATTAGAAAAGACAATGGGAAGTTAAAGTTAAGCCTCCATTAGTTAACTAATGATATACCTTTGTGTCCTTGGCTGCAGCTCTTCTTTAGTAAAATCCACAACATTCGAATATCAGCGTATATATTCATAGTCTTTCTCAGTGCCCAGTTACAGATTGCTAATCTTGCCAATTTTCAGTTGGCTTGTCAGAATGTGCCTTTAAATGGAAGTCACACAGGGCAGGCCACTGCAGTGTTCACAGCCGGATTTCTGCCTTGGAGTTTGGGGTTTGGTAAATATCATGCCCATTTCATAGACATCAGAAAGCTGAGGTACAGAGAAGGTGGCTCAGAGGCTATATCCTAAAGCAAGGATTGGATTCTGATTCTTCTCTTTCTTACTCTCTTTAAGGTAAACATTACATGGCATCCCAAGTCTTTTTTCTCTGATTACTTCAGGGAAGTGGATGATGGTAGAGTTTTAATACCATGTGTGTCACACTTGCTGATCTTGTAGTCCATACCTTTTTGGGAACCCATGTGATCCTGAAAAGTTTAAGTATGTAAATGGAGGTCTCCGCAGGCAAAATTGTAAAAAGGTAACATTTGTCTTTCAGAGCTTTTCCTTTGCAGATGTGTGTGACAGCCATGGGCTAAAGTGACAAAAGTCCAGTTGATAGGTAAATCATTCTAATAATGATCTCTCAGAAAGGATTTTTGATATTTTAGAATTTACCATTTCCATTGTTAGTTGATTAAAGGAAAAAGATTTAATAGACTGTCTTCCTCCTGTTCCTCATTCTCACTGCTTAGGACAGAACCTGTAACTTCCACATCGACTGCAGTGTGCACCTTTTATAGTTTAGCCAGTAGGGAGAATCTCTCTTAAGTAACGAGTCTTTCCTCTCAACTAGTATTGTCAGTTACTAGTTGTTTAAAATTCCTACAGGAGCATTCCCTGGGCTGGGATTGTTCCAAGCTACAGTGTGCTCCCTCTCCCACAACTCCCAACTTCCAACACACATGTGCTGTAGCAAGTTGATTTCCCAAGTGTTTGTGACAGATCTGGAAAAGAGATTGTTTCTACTTGAAAAATACAGTTACTAAGGTTGATACAGAAAAGATCAGGGCTTCGGCAGCAGATCAAGAACTTGATGGAAAAATCATGGCATTTACAGTTCAGAGACTCAACATTAAGTGTGTTCTTTGAAAATTAAAAAAAAAAAACCATGAAATTATTTCTCTGTCTTTTTACCATTGACCACATTCCATGTTTCAGGAAATGTCTATGTTTAATATAATTTTGTAATTACACCATCAGTACATTGAAAAGTATTATTAATATACATACTGAGAAACTCTTTTTAAGAATAATTTCTGACTGCAGTGTGGAAACAGCTAAATAAGTGCAATATTGAGATTAAATTAATGGTTATTATTTTGACCAGCCATGTGGGGAAAAAAATCAAGATACTTAAAGACTTGTGATTTCATGTCATGTCAAAATGTTGACACTGTCAGCAGGAAGAGAGCAGCTAGCTGAGACAATGTATATACCTCTGTAGCATCAGAAATCCAGTTTCCAAACACACAGCTAGGATGGACTTTCCACATTATACCTGGCTAAGGATCTGAGAGTCTAGGATCCTTTTCTGCCTGGGAGAAAGTGAGCTTATTGCCCGCTGTTTTCTTTCTATTCTAATAAATGGGTTTTACTGCATCATCATTGTGTTTTCATCCCCTTAAGTTCTGGGTGTGTTGAAATCAGCCCAATTATCTGAAATGGATGAAACCATTTTAGAATTCCATGGAAGCAGTATGGCACAATGGTGACATATGCAGGTTCTAAATCAGCCTGAGTTCAAACCCGGCTCTACCACTTACCTCTATCGGTTACCTGCATTCTCACTCCTGGGCCTCTTGTCTGATAAATGGGGTTAATAATGGTTCATACCTCATAGGGGAATTGTGAGGATTAAGTGAAACAAAGACTATAAACTATTTAGAACTGTTCTTCGTATCCAGTAAGTATTTAATAAACGCTAACTATAATTATGATTGTAATTATTGATTGCTGCTGTTGCTTCAGAAATGTATTTTCTTATGTTTTCTACAATCTAGATTAGTGCAAACAATATGAATTGTTTAGTGATTTCCTCCCATTCACACTTGAGAGAACTAATTTTGAAGATTTATTTTTTTCATAATGTCTCTTCCTCAAATCCCTCTGGCTTCCCACCATCCAAACCATAAGTATTTGTCAGAGCCAAGTTGATTATTAATCAAATGGAGCCTGAAGAAAATCTTTGGGATTGTTTTAATTGTGGTTTAAAGAACTTCCTTTACCATCTGGGCATACAAAAATACCTACAAGTTAAAAATGAAGTAAATTTGAACAAAATCTCTAGCTTTCAGAGTTTAATGTACAACAAACTGATAGTCTGTGAAGAAGAAAAAGTTTTCCTGATAATCACATTTTCAAAAAGGAATCTAGTTCACACTGTTTGTTTTTTTCAGTCAGGCTATGTAATCTGTCCCTCATTTCACTTGTTCTTATAAATTGGAAAGAACTTCAAAGCCAAACAACATTTTGAAGTGCTTTTGCCCTAACTTCTTGAAATTGTCTACCTACAAAAATGGTCTTTTGTTATGAGACAGACTTAGCATTTCTTTTTCAAAGGAAACCATCATTTTTGTAAATAAACTCTACTGGTTTAATGCTCTTTTCTCTACTTGAAATACATTTTCTCTCACCTGCCCAAGCAGGGTATTTGCAGCAGAGTGATCTTGATTTCTCTTTGTTCTCTCTGTCTCATGTGCCTTTGATAGCGGATGGTTTCTCGCTCTTTGGGAGCAAATCCGGATGATCTGAAGGACCCAATTAAAATTAGTATTCCACGCTATGTTCTCTGCGGGCAAGGAAAGGATGAGCACTTCGAGTTTGAGGTCAAGGTAAGTGTTCCTTCTTTACTTTCCTGGAGGAATGGAGGTTTGAGGTTGTGCAGTGCTTTCTCTGCCTTTTTTATAAAGAAGGATGAAGCTGTGGCTGAACATCTTGTTTTATAAGAAAGATACTTATCATGCCCGTTTTCAGACCAGAAGAGTTGAGACTGTCACCCAAGGGGTGAAATTATTACACAGAAAGTAGTAGTGATAAGGCATGTGTCAGGCATATGTGGAAGTCCTACCACTTACAGCCTGACAGGTAGGGTAACCAGTCACCCCAGTTTGCCTAGGACTTTCTGCTCTCAGCATAAAGTTCCACACACTGGGGATCTCTGCTTTAATGCCAGGCAAACCAGGACACATAGGCTACCTACCCACGGACTTATGCACTATTTTCATGTCTCTAATAATGGGAATAATGCTTTTATGTCACAAATAATATATGTATCAGTGCATAAAAAGTGCCAAGTTTAGTGTCTAGCCAATAATAAATAAAACACTGTAGCTATTACTTTTATTACTACTTTTGTTTTTATGATTGTTATTACTAATTTGTAATCTTTCCTAATCTGTTTTGGCATTATTAGATTTATATAGCTTTGCAGGAAGAAATATGCCTATTTCCTTACATCATACTTTCTGAAATAATGACTTCATCTTATTTCTATTTTATTCCATTGACTCATAACGTTTTATTAAATATTGTTGGCCACCATCCCCTTTAAAAGGAATTAATGATAAAATTGTACTCCCTTATTTCAAAGATAGGTTGAGGAGGATTGATGTAATGACATCCAACAGGCTTTCCAGTTTATGGCTGCACAAGGTTGTTCTTAGGAGTGATTTTCATCAGACACCAGACTATGATCTAGACTGAATTCTTTAGACTCTAATTCTGCTTCCATTTTCTCGGTGACTCTAAATTTGAACTCTCTGAGCCTCAGTTCCCTCTTTGGTAAATGAGGAAGTTGGATGATACCAGTGGTTTCCATATTCCTTTGTAGCTGAGGCCTTTGTTCAAAGAATATTTTATGAGGAGACTATAGAAAATAGGTAAACTTGGAGCTGCTCTGGGGCAAAGGAGGACAGAGGAGCCTGAACCAGCCCACAGGGATTGCTCCTTCAGGTATGCATGCTCCTTCTGTTATCCTGCAGACTCAGCACAAATAACTTTTCTAATTTATCAAGTTTTCAGATTCTTATTTTTATATACTCAGTTTTATTTAAAAACAAAACAGAGCACCTAAGCATTGATATTTGTGCTTGAGGTTTCTGTTGAGAAGACAGGACACTTGTGTGGTGGTAGCTTTGTCTTGAACTTTGCTTCTCTGCTGGCCAGATTTTGTGGCTTCTGATTCAAGTGTTTTAGCCTGTCCTTGATCTAGTACTTCCCACTGCCTCTGACCTAGTGCCTAATTCCTGCTCAATCCCTTGTCTCAGCAATTTGAAATTGGGTGTGCATGTAGAATTCATCTCTGTGTGTGTGTGTGTGTGTGTGTAGATAATGTTTTATATATACACCTATATATATAAAAACACCTATATATAAACAATATATATAAGCTATATATATATATAAACACCTATATATATATAAACAATATAAACCAATATATATAAACAATTTCTGGAGGTGTTTGTAGTATTTCTACATTTTTCATTGAAATAAAATTGACATATAACGTTGTATAACATGTTGTTTGATAGGTTTATATATTATGATATGATTACCACTATAGCCTTAACTTGAACTCTATCCCATAATCACCATTTCTTTTTTTGTGGTGGTATATATTAAGATTTAGTCTCTGAAGTTTACAATACAGTATTGTTGACTGATCACTATCCTATGTTTTCCAGGACTTGTTAATCTACTAGTTCCAAATTTGTACTCTTACATAGCATATCCCTCGCTCCCCTAGCTTTAGCCTCTGGTAATCACCATTGGACTCTGTTTTGACAACTTTTGCTGTTTTAGATTTCACATGTATTTGCTGTACAGCAGCATTTGTCTTTCTCTAACTTTGTATAATGTCCTCAGGATCATTGAAGTACTGCAGAATTATCTCCTTTCTCATGGCTGAATAATATTCCATTGTGTATGTGTCTGTATGTGTATGTGTGTTTATCACAACTTCTTTACCATTTCATCCACTGATGGACAATTAAGTTGTTTCCATATCTTGGATATTGTGACTAATGCTGTGCTAAGTATGGGAATACAGGTTTTCCTATCTCTTTGAACTTTTGTTTTCATTTCCTTCAGCTATAGACTTGGATCATATAACCATATATTATTATTAGTTTTGGGGGACCCTCCATTCTGTCTGTAGCGGCTGAACTAGACTTTAGAGAATAAAGGCTCACTTTCACCAGTTTAAAATTCAAAATTAAAATTCTCCAAAACATAGAACTCATAGCACTGGAGGACATGCATTGATTTCAATTGCTACATAAATTTATTTCACTTGAATAGACCTGATGAGGTAATATAAATATTAAATTGATTTCATGCATAGAACTTAAGGAATGGATAAGAAAGAGGTTAATTTTCTAAAACCTGAGTTGATTTATATAAAAAGGCAAGCAAATAATGTCCAGACTGTATGTAGATCTGGCCAAAATTGTAGAGATGCCACTGCAAAGGCAAGGTAGTGAAACCAAAAACAGAGATCACATGGAGCCTTCAGACTAGCTCTAGGCTTTCACTTCAAAATACATGACATATAAAAAAGAGTTTTGCTTTCTTTGAACTTATCAAAGCCAGGTTCTGAAAGCATGCCATTGTTCTGCTTGCTTTTTGTACTTTTCCCAGGTGCTGTAATCATTAACACCAGGAATAGACTCTGAGCATTTGCCTGGAGAGTTTCTAGTTCTCTGAGTAGGGAGGGTTGCCTCATGTACTCATAGATAGGTGAGCTGAGAGCTTCACATTCCTGTGGGGATACCCCATCATAGCAGTATCAGGGCTCAATACTAGAAACAAACTTGATGTTAATATACTACCCCTCCCCTTAACAAAGCAAACAAACATGGTTGAACTCCCACAAAAACATAGCAGCTAGAATAGCGCTGGATTCACCAATGTCCTGTCCAGTATCCTTCAGTTTATCTTGGCAAGTCACTCATCCTCGCTGGGCCTCATCTGTAAAATGGGTTGGTATGAAGAGAGTGGGCGGTTATATATGTGAGGTGTTGAAACAGTGCCTGCCATATATACTAAGGGGTGGAGCTTGTGCCTTTAGCTTTGCCAGTAGGCCTTACTGCTCCTTATCACAGAGGTTACTTAATGAGGTGGTATTATAGAAAAGTTCAGACCAAATGAAGAGTCTGATGATACAACTTGTTAAGTTGGTTTAAACACACACAGAGGGCCTCCCCGGTGGTGCAGCGGTTGAGCACTGGGTTGCGAAGCTGCCTGCAGCCTCTGACATGCTGGTTCGATCCCCGGCCACCGGGTGAGGGTCCCACATGGCGTGCAGAACTCTCCTGCCGCCCGCTGCTTCCCTCAGCAGTGTATTTCATCAATCTGTCTGTTCTGCTCCCTGCTCTGGCTCTGGTGAATTCTCTCACCCTCCCGTGCTTCTCACTGTACCCAGTGCTTATATAAATAAATAAATAAATCTTAAAAAAAAAAAAAAAGAACAATAATATAAAAATATGTATAAATAAACACACACAGAGCAGCAGAGGGAGGGAGTAAGGTAGGGACACTGAGATGGCGTAGGCAGGTGGGCAGCACACTCTTCACACCATGTTCGTCTGTCCTGTCTTTCTGTTGCCTCCTTCTTTCCAGCTGTGCTTATCAGGAGCTTGGAGGACAGAGGGTGCCCAGGGCCAGTACATGCTTGTCCAATGGGAGCACACCTGGCCGCCATCCTGCTGAAAGCTCTGGTTTCTACCTGCACTTTTTGGGTGGAGCACATGTGGAGCCAGACAGTTGTCACCAAAGGTGCTCAATCCAGGCTTGGCATAACCATCGGCCCTGGTGATCGTGATCATGACTTTCCATTTTCTAAGCAACGTTCTTGTCTGTTCTGCACTCATAGAAGTGCTTCCTGAACTTTGAAGAAGCTGAGGTCATATTTTAGTGTTTAAAACATAGTGGCCATTTCTAAACCTTTGCTGGTTTGCAACATTTGCCGTTATTTTTGTATGTGTTTTACCTCCTTATCCTCATTTCAGGCCAAGTCACTGTCACTTTGTGGATTGGGGCTATTCCTCAGGCTTTGACAAACCCGGAGGAATTTGGTGGTGGATAGGCCTTCCAGGAAGCGTGAAGAAGAAATGCCCAGAATATTTGCAGTTTGAGAGTTGAAGCAATCACATTTATAGTCAGAGAAATTTCTTTTTATTTGGCAGAACAGAAATAAGAGCCATTTCAGTCTATTAGATAAACTATGTGCACATACATCTTTTAGAAATACTCCCAACTTGATGGAATATAAATGTTCAGGAGGATTTGTGTGTTGGCATCTGAATCTCTGCTTATTAGTAGCTTGAAAAATTATCTCCTTGGTTATGTATTAGCATAGTTGAGACAAATGAAGTGCTGCGTATGCTGTGGCCCTTCCAGATTCACTCAATTTGTGTACTATTTCCAACATAAATAACGAGAAAAAATGACACTGGGAAAAATCATTTTTTGCTTTTTTTTTTTTTTTAAAGCATCCTTTCTTTTTCTTTAAGAACTTTGTCATTCACTAAAAAAAAAAAAAAAAGTCATTTCTCCCTTTCCCTGTTTTCTCAAAAGCAACTAATCTTTTCTATTGCTTCAACTTGGGCAGTTGTGTTTATCTTCACAAAGTAAGTGCTGCACACAGGAGAAATGATGGAGGTGAAATGAGATGGAGTCACAGTCACCACCTGGTGTTCACATACCTTGAATTTCCATTTCGTTTGTTTTTCCTCTATAAGAATGTGTTAATACCTCCTGTCCCTTAATTTTAGAAGTTTCAATTAAAGCTCCTTAATTTTAGGGATTGATATCTCTCCCTAAACTAACT